AAAAAAAAAAAAAAAAAAAAAGGGAAGTATCCTGAGATAGCACATTTAACACTCACAATTATCAACAAGGGTCACAAACCTGGGAACCGGATGTCAGACTCACACTGCTATCTGCGCTGATCTGGGACTTCTTCTCCTCTGTCTCACCAAGGTCAAAGATGGGTTTGATTGCTTCAGGCCCTGAGTAGGGGAAGACTTCTGTTACTCAGCACACAAAGGCTGGGGGCAGGCTGGGGAAGGGAGTGGGACAACAGCATGGCCAGGACCCAGACCTGGTCAGCACGTCCCAGTCACCTTCCCAGGGACTGCCCCCTCTGGCCCCACTGGAAGAAGCAGTCTCCAGACACCTTAAGAACCAAGTAGGAAAATGAGACCTGGCCTCAAGGGGCTCTGCAGCCATCTTCTCAACCTGAGACCATTCTGAGCACATCACCCTAAAACAGCGAAGCTCCACAAACAAACATCTAAACCACATTCCACTGCACTCAGTTAGAGCTTCACTGGAGCCTGAAACCATCCGAGGGTCTCCAGGTCACTCAGTGCTTCCCAAACAAACATGTCTAAAGGGGCGAGAAAAGGATGGGCCCGATGAGAGAAAGAAACACCAGCTGTATCCATGGACACTGTTTACCCCCACCCTACAACCTCCACATTTGAGATTAAATCCAATCCCTTTGCCCCCACCCACCCACCATGATATGGCAGAAGGACAGAATGACAGAAAGCAAGAAAGCGTGCCTAGGCAAGCCACCAGAGAGAGTTGGGAAGCTACAGACTCAACACGGAGGGACAGCAACCATCTCTGCCAACTGTGCCCACAGGCCTTCTAATGGGTGAGGGAGATATCAGCCAATGAGGGGCCCTGAAATAGGCAAGCGTTCTCCCCACCGACTCTGAAGCAATAACGAACCAAGTTCAGAGGGACTTTACTCAGTAGACGCCTCAATTACAGCCGGAGCGCTGGGAGGGGAGGGGAAGAAGCAGCCTACGAGCCACATACCTGAATCACATACCACCTACCTGCTGTCCTTCCAAATACCCCCTAGAGCAAATTTGGGGTGGGGCTGACAAAGGGAGCCTGCCCCAACTGGGCCTGGGGAGTTGGCAGGTATGGGAGACTTGGGAATGGGAAGGGGCATTTGTTCCTTACTCTGTTTTTCCATAGCTTTTTGCTTTTTCACTTCCTGGTGCTTGTTCCACAATTCTACCCCAGATGCAATGTAAGCAGGAGAGAAAGACAGAGAGAGTCAGAGGCTGGTCAGGCGGACGAAATGGAAACCCACCCACCCAAGTTGATTCGGTCTCGGGCATAAGACTACAAATCAAGAGATAAAAAGAGATCTTCATTTTGGGGGATTAAAAATCAAGAGATCTACTGCCTTCCTCCTCACTCAAGAAATAAAGACTCCAAATGTCTAACCCTAACCTCAATGTGGCGGTAAAAACCCTGCAGAACATTAAGAGCTTGAAGAGCCTTTCCCCAAGCTCCTTGGTTTTGGCCAGAGGAAACTGACCCTAAAGAGGCTGGAGCAGTCCCTCAAGATCATGTGACTTAGGATCAGTTTAAACTTCTACCACACCACACCCTCTCTGCCGAATGAGCTGGCAAAGCCAATTTTTGAAGACTCCAGATAAGATAGATGATCACCTCAAGAAGCCAAAGGGATTTCAGAAGCAGGAGCACCAATCTGTTCAATTCCCTGGAGTAGACAGAGGTTACTCATGCAGGCAGTGTGCATCCCTCCTTGTTGCTACCACAAACCCCAACTCACCCTCAGAATCAGTACCTGCCCTGATGATGAGAAACCCATTTCTAGCCAGATATCTGGGATTCCAGCAGAGGTCATAGAGAATATTAAGTGTCAAGAATAGCATCTTAGTAGGGTAAAGAAGAGAGAAGAGCGAGCACAGCGATTCTTTTCCTGGAAGAACTGTAGAGTCCACTTAGTCCAGCCCCCTTATTTCCCAGATGAGGAGAGAGAGACCCTGAGAGGGGGAACAATTTGCCCAAAGTCACGTTCCTGGTTGTGGGCAGGTCATTACTTTTCCTGGAACATCACTTCGGGCAGGAGAAAGGCAGGGCTGACTGCCCCTGAAAAGGAAACTGGTTCCTCATGATCATTTATGAGAGCATAAGGCAACTGTTAATAGTTGTGGCAAAGAAGCATCAGTTAGAAGCATATTGCCCAAGAACCTAGAACCAGAAAAAGAAAGATACAACCTAGGTGACTCAAGGTCACATAGGGGTGAGTCAAACTGAGGTGACATCCAGAAAGCTCACTAGGCTCAGTCTTAGAGGGAATGGAGAAATGCCAAATGTAAACAAGCTCCGGTAAGAAACGTTTTAAAGAAAAGCTGACTCAGAAATCTATACCCTGAGGTCCAGAACTCAGGACAATGAGATTGCTGGACACACCCCAGAGGAGCAAATTTGAGGGCAGAGTAATGGTTGGACAGGGGAAAACTGGCTTTATAGACACAGATGATCATAATTTTATAGCTTAAAGATGCACCTATAAACTTCCTTATAGTTTCCAGGAGCTCTCCACTCCATGAAGAAATCCAGAAATAAACAAAAAGAGGGACCAGAGCACAGCTCAGACTCCCTGCAGTAGGCCTCACTGGGCCTCCTAAGAAAATCTTCCATGTTAAGATGTGGGTGGGGTGGCTGCAAATGAAGCATAAGGGACAGAGAAATACAGAGAAGTACCATTAGAAATGAACACAGATCTATCTCCCTTTCTAGAAAGCAAAGCATGGGAAAGAGAAAGGCAGGATTCTGGATGAACTGAAAGGAGGGAGGGATATTTAAGCCAGAAACCCTCCAACACACCAAACACAGTGATACATACCAATAGATGCTACAAAATTCTCTTCCTTTAAACTTCTGGTGTCCAGTTCCTTAGGACCCTTTCCTGTAGCACTTGGTGCCCGAGGCCCCAGCTGGGGAACTCTCAGCTGTGCTGTAGCCTTTGGGTCCCCACGACCAGCCAGGCCAGGATCCTTGCCAACTGGTGTATTTATGCTCTCTGTTGGACTTCTCTTCCGTTTGTCTGGTTCTGAGGAAAAGACCAAATATAAGAAGTGGTCAAAGGTAGTAGTGAGTGAGCCCAGCCGGTGTGGCTCAGTGGTTGAGCATCAACCCATGAACCAAGAGACCACAGCTCAGTTAACGATCAGGGCACATGCCGGGTTGCAGGCTCAATCCCTAGTAAGGGGCATGCAGGAAGCAGCCGATCAATGACTCTCTCTCATCATTGATGTTTCTATCTCTCTCCCCCTCTCCCTTCCTCTCACTGAAATCAATAAAAACATGTTTGTTTGTTTGTTTTAAAAAAAAAAGAGATAGTGAGTGAGAATCAAGGTATGGAAATGAGGTGAGAAAGGCAAGAATACAACAGGATGTGGAATGGAAGAAGTAGGAGGAAGGAAAAACGGACATTTGATTTTTCATGACAGAAAGACACCCACTACAAATAAACATGCCCTAGAAAATAAAATCCCAAAGCCTGATGGGAAATGGCTTGGCACTGGGACTCTGTCAAGGGACAAGTTTATTTTCTTCGGAGACAAGTGGGAGAGTCTGGACGGCACACTGCCCCACTGGTACAACCCCTACCTTTGCTATAGTAGTGGGTCTGAGCGATCTCCAAAAGCCCAAAGATGCTCGCCATGCCGCCCAGACCTGAATGGGCATAGGACTGCTCCAGGCTGAGCACTGTGCACTTGAGCAGGTCTAACATTCCCTTGTACACCTTTCGACTGATCTCCTGCAACAATAATCCAGGGGCTAGAGTTGGCAAAATCGCCTTTGGTGTCCACATCCCTCTTCCCAGTTGATCCCAACTCCCAACCCCAAGCACTGACCACATCTGGGATAAGGTCCTGCCGGGCATCGTCCTCTGACTGCACTGTGCGGTTCAGCTTGCTCAGGACAAAGACCCGCAGCTGCTCACTCTCCAGTAGCCGTCGCACCTTCTTCATGTTGAGCCAGCCGACTCCCTGGCCATCCAGCACACTGTGCACCACCTCCTTCAAGAACTGCTGGTTCTCACTGTGGGTGCCACATACCACTTCTGTGGTCATGAGCTTCTTTGCAGAGCATCCGCCCTTTCACCAGACTAGATGTCTGCCTCCAGGGGCAAAACACAAAGCCAAGTGTCCAGATGTCCAAGTCCAAGGCATCCCCCACCTCTCCAGAGCCTGGTTTGCCCAAGTACCCACCACTGAGGTCTCACTCTCCTCAGCACCATGAACTATTACTGTTGCATGGAGATTTAGTCAGAATGAGAAGTGCTAGCAAGAACTGATTTCACCACAGTCAGCAAGGCTCAGCGGTTGAGCACTGACCTATGATCCAGAAGATCGCGGTTCAATTCCAGGTCAGGGCACATGCCTGGGTTGCGGGCTCAATCCCCAGGAGGGGACATGCAGGAGGCAGCCAATCAATGACTCTCTCATCATTAATGTTTCTCTCTCTCCCTCTCCCTTCCTCTCTCTGAAATCAATAAAGACATATTTAAAAACAACAATACACACGTGATTTCATCTACCCAACTGAGAGCTTCTCTCCCACTCATGAGCATCCATCAAGTTTGGTACAGGAATTGCTACCTCTATCCAAGAACTTTTCAATGGCTCTGCCATTTATTACCTAGAATTGCTGGATCGGCCCTGGGGTGATGGAGGTTCTCTCTTCACTGTTGGGCTGTGTTTGATGACAGATGACTTCTGGTCCACCAAGGCCCTCCTGTTTCCTACAGCCAGGAAGGTGGAATGAGAGATATCACTATTGTAGTCCGGTAGCTAATGTCAGCAGAGCCCTGGGCAGCCATGTTCCACACCCATTCTCCAGAAGGGCTGGGTGAGGATGGCACCAGGGCGTCACACAGGGGTAGAAACCAGCCATGGCAATGTGGAGGAGGTGGGGATGGAGACTCAGGCCACTCCACATGCACCAGCAGCACGCCCAGGGGCAAGCACGGGCGTCACGGGGGACAGAGCAAGGCAGGTCATCATGTGATGCTGCTTGCTCCATGAGGAGGATGGCCTCAGGCAGGCACAGAAGATGCTAGGAAAAAAACAATCATGCACAGCTCACGGGCAAGACCCACCTTCACCACTCCCGGGGCCGGCTTCAGTAACAATCTCCATTAGAGTATTTAGCCCAAATACTGGGACACAAAATACACAATTAGTAGGTGCGCCACGATACCACAACCCCTATCACCCTCAATGGAGCTGCAAGTCAAATAAACGGATCATTCTCCCAAAACTTGGTGCACGGAACCCTGGGTTCTCGGAGAGCTGGAAGCCAGTGACCAGGAGACAACCAAGCTCTAGGAAAGACCATTCCTAAGACTATGACCTCTCAAAGCCAGGGCAGGGTAAATGACACAAGGAGCCTTCGGGTACTAAACAGGCACATGCATGGAAGAGGGACCACTGGTTTTCATGAAACATCTAGCACAGGGGTCCAGAGGGCCTGCAGGTCTGCAGAGGGCAGAGACCCACCTTGCAGATGCTGTCATGGGAAGTGGGGTGAAAGAGTGAGGATGGGAGTGACAGGTGCAGCAAATGAAGTGAAGCACCGGCATGCAATGAAAGCGTCTCCATCGCTCTCTTCTTCAACTGAATCAAATGAAAGCCTGTGCTGCCAACACCTTTCCATCCCTCACCTACAGAGCTTGGCTAAATTCACTCATTAGTTCCCTGCACCACTAGCTCTGATGTCCTTTTGCCCATCTATCCTATGTTCCCATTCCCTACCCAAAAAGCATTCCTTATATTGCTGACATTTCAGTCACTGGGAAGGGAGGTCAGTTAAAAAATACGCAGAGCTGCTTCTCACTGTGCTTCTACTGTGATTAAACATCAGCACAATGTCCAGAGGAAACAAGTAAAAGTCAGAGTAAATTAAGAAGAGCCCTCTGACTTGTCAGAGATCACTAATGAAAACCAAATGATGTCTCAGCTGCCCCTAGAAGCCAGCCAGTATCACCTGGCCCACTCATAGGCCCTAAGTTGACATGAAGCCCAAGTGAGAGGCTTTTTGACTCTAAAAACACTGCCAGGCTCAAAACATAAAAATAAAATAAATCCACAGTGCCAGGCTCTCCACAACAATCCCTGGTGGGCAGTCTCTCTGGGATGGAGTTTGTCTTGAGCTCACACAGTAGCACCCTAGCAAGTAACTGCTGGCACTGGCTGATCCCTATGTACCTCTGACGAATGTTTCCCCTGGAAGCAGCAGTCATCCCACAGCTGCCATTATCCTAAATGATAACACATGGCTTCTTTTTAGCTACGAAGACAGTCTCCACCTGAAAACCAGCAAGGGCCCACGATGTGCGGTGAAAGCCATGAGAAGCAACATGAGGGGCAACAACTGGACCAAATGATTCATCATACACAGGGCTCCTGACAAGCACTCATAGGCCTGAAGCAGTTCTCAGAGGATCCTGGTTTAGCGAAACGAGGGCTGCAGTTACCTTTCAGACTGGGGAAGGGCGTGGTCTTCTCCCGGGCACCTTTGGTGGGCAGCGTGAGGTTTGAAAGACTGAAGCTTGTACTGTGGTTCCGATACAGGCTGCCTGGCAAGGGGAGGGTGTGAGAGCAACGAGTTAGGGGGATACAGACTCAAAGCGTCATGCTCCACGGACTAACATCATCTCCACCTTCCTCCTTTCCCAGCATCCCAGTGATTGCTCCATCTTAGAAAGGACCAAGGCTAACTTAGAGCAAACAAAGGCATCGCTGCCGAGATTGCTCAAAACCCAATAATAACTTGCTCTGACTCCTCCCATGACAATATCCAAGTCTCTCATCAGCTGCTAATTTGGCACAAAAGCCAACAGTTAATGCGCTTCTGGTCTGAAGTTGGTGCTGCCCCTTCCTGGCTTCTCAAAAAACTCACAATCACAAGTATCCCCTATGTTGGCCTTCTCTGGTTCCGAGTGTGACTTCACTCTTTCCCTGACACCACCACTCACTTCTGGAAATATTTTCTACGCAGGAAAGGCAACCTCATAGATTTCAAAGCATGTTCATGAAAAAGTCCTTCACCAAAGAAGATATTAGATATACACCCAAGTTAAATCTGACCAGAATATTTCCACAAAATATATATACAAGTGTATGAGTTTTAACATGATTATTTTTCAGTTGGTCTGCTATCTTACCTGAAATAGATTGAAACCTCCACGTATAATGATTAATCTGTCCCTGTTCTTTACTGACCTCTCCTAAAAATACCTTACAGAGTATCACCAAACAACCTGAATTGGGACTTGCTAATGCCAACCCAGACCTGCATCTGAAGTTCTAAGCAACATCAGCCATGGCCAGGCCCCACTGGGGAGAAAATGGGGCAGAGGCATGAGAGAGCTGAGAGCACTTACTGGCAAAAGACATGATGCCCCCGAAGCTCTCGGTGCTGTTGTTGGAGATGGTGGAGGTGGGAGAGCTCGCTCGGGAGTCTGACTCTGCGTCTGAGTCGCTTGCCAGTTTCAAGCTGTTGGGCCGCAGCAGCTTTTGAGCCCTTGAATGCACAGTGGCACCTATGAGCTCCAGGCAGGGGTACCTAATCTTGGGCGTGTGGGCCTGATGCTACACTTGCAGTCACCATTCCCTTCCCATGATTCCTAAATGGCTGGATCGGAGCACCACCCTCTGGGGATGGCAGAACCCGGAGAGCACTCAGACTTCTCAGGCTGATTAACCCTCGCCCAGGGTCAAATGCAGTGAGGTCCTTCAGTGACCCATCTGTGAGGAACCCCCAGGCTCTCACCGATTGCCACTGCCCTGCTGGATGATTCGGGGAGTGTAACTTTCCCCCTGGTCATCATCATCATCCTCAGGGGGAAACCCATATTGGGGCTCGAAGTATGGGTTGTCATAGGTTCGCCGGCGCACTGACCCCTCTCCAGTTTCTGTCTGACGCCTGTCCACATTCGATTTGCCGAGGCTGGGAGGCACAGGAGGGAGGGGCTTAGAGGCACCTACTGCTGCTTTATCATCCATCTCTGTTGAGTTAGCAGGTTCCTACAGGCCAGATCAAATGAAAAGTAGTCACCTGGTGCCCAGTGATGCTTCCCCATAGTCTCAGTTTGGCAGGGCCAAGCCAGGCCTGTCAGATTCCCATCCTAAGAAATGTGTGAGAAAAGATCTCTGTGACACCCCTGTTCTCTGTCCCCACAAACTATGCAAGGGGTATCTGAGCTAATCCCTGAACAAAGCCCAGTGACCTCCTTCTGGGGTCAAAACCATATCTTACAGGCTCTAAGCTACAGGACCTACAGAGAGGAAAACAGGAAGATAGTGAAGAAAGGAGCAAATTAAATTAATAGCTCCACTCCAGGTCCTAAGATAGGTGAGGCCCACATCCCAGCAGTCCTCGCTTATCCACCCCAAGTCCTCACGTACAGAACTGGCTCCGTGGATGATGGTGCTGGGGCTACTGCTGGCCGTGGTGCTAGAGCTAGAGCGCTGTGGGGCGTGTTCCTGAGAGTTCTCGCTGTCAGGGCCAGGTTCCTCTGCATCCTTCTGGCTCTGCAGCTCATCAATCTTCACCTCACTGGCATCCCCCAGCGCCGCGTGTGTCAGAGGATCCACATCTGCCAAAACCCAAGGGTGGCAGGTACAGACCACACCATCCAAGAACCCAAACCCTGCCCAGAGCTGCCCAAGTGCCCCAACTATACTTACTAGGAGTATCACCATTAATGTCACACTTCATCATTTCGCTAACAAAGTCACCCAGGGAGGAGTAAGAAGAGCTGGAGTCATCATAATCCATACTATCACTGCCACTGAAGAGGGAAAGGCATACAAATAACGAACAAAACAGAAAGAAGGCACAGGGAAAAGAGTCAACCATTGGCATAAGGAAAAATACAAAGAGGAGCACCCTTAACTCAAGGCCAGGGAACAATATAAAATAAGGACTCTAACACAAAACAATCAAGCCCGGCCAGTGTTGCTCAGTGGTTGAACATTGACCCACGCACCAGTAAGTCACCGGGTCAATTCCCGGTCAGGGCACCTGCCCTGGCTGTGGGTCTGATCACCAGCAGGGGGCGGGCAGGAGGCAGCTAATCTATGTTGATGTTTCTCTCTCATTGGTTCTATGTCTCTCTCCCTCTCTCTTCCTCTCTCTCTAAAATCAATAAAAATATATATTTTTAAAAATCAACCAAAATATAACCCAAGGCTTCAAATGCTGCTGTCTAACCTCTACGAGATTTTGCCATGGTGCTACATAAGGGCCAGTGAGAGCCTCTTGACCTTAACAACTGTCCTGCCGCCATAAGGGACTGCTCACCTGTCATCAGTAGGGTCAGAGTCGGAGTCACGCTCCGGTGGCACACTCAGCGCCTCAGCCAGCTGGGAATTGCTATCGTAGACGCGGTAGTGGATGGGCTGCAGCTGATGAGCGTACCACTTCGGCTTGTCACCAATTAGGGCCGGATCAAACATGTCTACACAAAGAGGAAAAAGAATAGACTTAGCAACAAGGGGAAAAAGGCAGGAAAAACATAAAAGGTAGGAACAAATCTAAAGCAAAATAGGAATGGAAGGGGCAGGCCAAAGATCAGAAAGGGAGACAGCAAAGGGAAGAGCCATCGGAGGACCAAGGCCGCAGGTGGGGCAGCCCAGACGGTCGACTGACTCACTGTTGTGAATTCGCTGAAAGGCATAGTTGGTAGGGTTAAGGATCCATTCCCCAAAGTACTCCACAGCCTGAGTCCTGGCCAATTTCTCAGCAAAAGGAGTCTGCCGGGGACGTGAGGCTAGGAAGGAGCCAGCTTGAAAAGCTACCACAGGCCGAGGGAAGAGACGCAGGGTACGTGTGTGCATCTGAAAGCCCTGCAGCACGTTGGGGGAGTTGAAGAAACGGACCATGGCCACTCTGGGGAAGAAGGGGAGGCGAGATAATCCGAGTCCCACACCCTGCAGGGTGACGATTCCTATGATCCAAAGTCTCAGACCACTTCCCAAAGCCATCAGTTAACAGGCTTCCAACATCAAGGGGAGAGATATCTTAAAGAATCATCAATCCTCTTCTTCATTCAAGGCCTAAAATGCCTGACAGTATGATGAACCATTTCTCCTCTTTGCTTTTACTAAGGTGACAAATATTACCCAATGTGACACATATTTTATATACAAAGAAACTCTGGCTCAAGGGAGTAGTCTGCCCCAAGGTCACTGTGTAACCAGACACCAGTATAAGAGCTCATGATCATCTAATCTGTTTGGTACCTGGTTGCGACATCTACAGAATCCACATCGTTGCCATAGATGAGTGGATTGAATTCAGTGGAAGGTGTGGACTGCAGGTCATTAGAAGGCCGTCCAAAGAGAAGGGGGATCTCCTGGCCCTCGTGGAATTTTTCCAGATTGAGGATTGGCTGGGTGTTGAGGCTCATGCTGGCGAGGGCCTGTGGAACAAGAAATTCCTCATTGAAGGCAGAATCCTGGGCAGCTGGCCAATCTCATCTCCTAGGAAACAGCCTTCATCTTTGAAATAAGAACCCAAATAGTTTACCTTTAGAAAATAATGTGAATTATACAAATCTCCAGCGTAAGCCAACCTGGCTCAAGGCAACTTGATCAAATTCAGGGCAATAACTTTCAAATTTATTTTAGCTATGAAATCTTGTTTTTCAATGGAAATCTAAGTGGGAATATAAACAACTGAAGGACACAGGAACCCAGGGCCTCACGTGTCTGGTGCTCGCAACCTAAACCAACCCCTTAGAGACTCCATAAGGCAGTTTGAAACCACTGGTCTAGATCAGAGAGCTTCTAAATTATTAATGAGCATAGATTTCACTAGGTGATATTGTTAAAATGCAGATTCTGATTCAATAGGTCTGGGGTGATTCTGCACTTCTACCAAGCCCAGGTGAGGCTAGTGCTGCTGGTCCATGGGCCACATTTTGAGTAGCAGAGGTAGGAATACAGGATCTATGAGTTCAAGGATCTTCGCTCCTACAGACATTTAAAGTCCAGTTCCACACATCAACCTCTCCATCTCATTACGCGTACTACAGCAATCATCGAGAATAAAAACACAGCAAAGGAATATAGCTAAAGAACTTTCTGAACTTGCAACCCTCACCAGGCTACCCATTTAAATCCAAGCAGGTATCATCTAGAGGTACTGCTAAGCAACACAGACAACGACTAGAAAGAGAGTCCTAAAGACCCTTCAGGGACTCTTTAGCAGGGATTCCTAAAAAGACAGCTATCTACTGATCCTACATAACACACACAGCAGGCAGAGGAATGGGCCTTGTCAGGTTTTACCTTCAGATACTGTGTTCAGCATGCAGAAGAAGAAAGTCAATCAATGAAAAATACGTTTAAGGGATTACTCAAAGAAAGGAATTATTGAAGAAAGGATTCTATAGGGACATAGGGATCAATTTAAGAGGAAAACATTAAAGAAGCCATTTTGTCCTAACTTCCTCCTTATAAGTCTGAGAGACAATCCAAAGCCATAAAGAATCGCAGATGTGCCCTGGCTGGGTGGCTCGGTTGGTTGGAGCGTCTTCCTGTACATCAGAAGGCAGTGGGATCGATTCCCGATCAGGGCACACACCTAGGTTGCAGGTTCGATACCTGGTCGAGGTGTGTAGAGGAGACAACTGATCAATGCTTCTCTCTCTGTCTCTCTCTTTCTAAAATCAATGAAAAAACATATCCTTGGGTGAGCGTTAAAAAAGAAAAAAGAATAGAAGTGACAAGATACTGAAAGGGAAGGGCTGTTTTATACGGCATTATAAGCATCCGAGGGTGGGAAGGAATACAACAAATTAAAAAGAAGCTGAGGAGCCCTTTTTGAGGTTCACCCTGCCCACCAGAAATGGGATAAACCTCCTCTTAAGCCTGCCCAAGGTGAAGAATATCTACTCTGCTTGACGTCTGAAAGGAAGATGGCTCCTATGACAGCTGTCTGCCTATAGCGGTCCTGCAGCAGCCACTGCTCCCCTTCCTTTTTTTCATTCGTGACCTACCTGCTTTAAATGTTTTTTCAACTCTAGTGATTCTGGTTCTGGCAGGACAGGTAACACTTCTGCATTAGTGGGGGCGATCACCTGCACCAGAGAAAAGATAAAAGGCATGGCCCTAGAATTAATTGCTTAGGAGGTTCTCTTACATAAGGGTAAGTGAAAAGAACAGGAAGTTGTATATACAATATTATCATATATATGTGAATATACACCAACATACATGAGACATACACATACACATGTATATGATATACACACACACCTGAAAAGAAACATATCTAAATGTTATTGGTGACTATCTTTAGATAGCAGGACTATGGTTTTTATTTACTTCTTTATACTTATTTGTATTTTCTAAAGTTTTTACAGTGAACACGCAGAAGGGCTTCCTACCGAACTTTATATTCACACTACAGGATGTTAATATACATTTTTAAAAGTCTATACTGAAAGGCAGCTTCTTACTAGAAACTATACCCCAAGAAAACCATTAGCTGACCCACACCATATGTAACCACAGCTGCCCTCCTGCTCTGAGATGCGGGGGAGCACTTAATTCTAAATTTTGTAATTCTTTGAGTCCTAAAAAGTGTCTATTAACCCAAAAAAGCAGGATTAAAAAAAAAAAATTGTTTCAGTGAGTCACACAATAGAAATCACTCACCACCTCAGGATCTTCCGGGGAATAATCTAGAAAAACAGGACACCACCCTGTTGTAGACCCTACAATGCCCTAGCCAAGAGCCTCACCCTACTACTGTCCAGATCCACCAGCCATACGTCATCAGGCATTTTGAAGTCCAGTTTGTAGAGGAAGAAGCTGGCAGGGACCCCAATGATGTACGGGGTTGGAGCCAAGAGCAGCTGAGGAAAGGAAAAAGAGGGTAAGAAACAAAACCAAGCCTGTGTCGATCACTTATCCAGTCAGGGTTTTCCTAGATAAGAAAACAATCCCTTTTCCAAAACCCTTGAAGGTAAATGTGTTTCAAAAGTTAGGATTTTTCAGATTTTAGAAAGCTACCAGTGTGTATTCTATATATTATGTAATACCTGCAGTGGTGTAGCCAGTAGCCTCTAATCATTAACATTAACTATGATAAATAAAAACCATAAACAGCACAGGTTTTACCACCAGATCAATTCAAGTCAGGTCAGATTTTGCAGACAAGCAAGCTGTGATAGGGGACTGTGAATCAGTACTGTTTTACAACTTCTTCGTGCATTGAGCCTTCTACTCCAGAGATGGGCAGAGTTGGGACACAGAGATGACAAACACAGAAGACACCCTGAAGCTCACCTGCTCTGCCGATGCCATGCAGGTGGGCAGCAGTGGGATAACAGGAAACATATACTCCAGGGGATAGATCATTGCCACAAATGCCATCACAGACATGGAGAGTGCATTGTAGTCTCGGGACTGTAGCACCACCTGCCACAAGTCATAGGACCACTCGACAGCATAAATAAGGTTGACAAGAAAACAGCTTCCAACACTCCAACTGAATCTGTTTCCTATTGCTCTAGGAGCTTCGTTTCCACATTTATCACTGCTCTGTACCCCACCCTCCCTGCCACCTCCTGATCCAAGCACTGTGGTAGTCTTCCCTCAAATCACTCCCTATGTTCCTAGTTCTTGCACCCCAATCCTTGGGACCAATATTGGAATAGAACTACTGATATTTCCAGAGAATTAGGTCAGTATAGTTAAAGGTAATTTAACTGAGTAGCAAGCCCTCTGAATACATCCCACATGATACCAGTACCTTAATTCAACCCACACCCACCGAGTACCTGCTGTATACCTGGCATCCTATTACCTCCTGAAGATAAAAAGATGAAAAAGGTGTAGTCCCTGTCCTCAAAGAGCACATGGTTTAGCCTTTACCATATTTCGCAGCTCTGGAAAGGTCAAGAAAGCTGGCCCTCTCACCTTGTGCTCTAACAGGATGCAGGTTAGCACCTGAAGGCAGGCATCCACGCCCAGAAGTTCCAAGGGAAGGTGCAGTGGGAAATCCACCAGGGTGAATCGAGAGGGGTCTGGAAGGGCAAAGGTTAGAGCTTGCTGGAGCTCCTGGGGCAGGACCTCAATGTCTACTCGCTTCTGCCCAGAGACGGGGACTGGGGAACGCAGCAATCGATAAATCCAGGCCTCAATCTCTCGAAGGTCGTGCAGAAGGGCACTTGACTTCTCCTCTACCAGCAATGATCCAGTGAAGATACGCCACATGGTGTCCCTGAGGGAGACAGAGCAGGAAACAGACACATCAGCACCAGGAGCTGATGCCTCACTGCAACCCAGTGTAACCATGGAGGGGATAATGATGACAATGGGAAAAGCCCAACCTCTGAGCTCAGCTAGGACCACAGGGTAGGGACAAGAGTGAGAACAAATATAAAAATGTACGCATGGCGGGACTCATTGTCCTGCCCACCATGAAACATCAAATTCCTCTCCATCGATCCAGACACAATTATGGTAGGGGGTCTAACTCAGCAGCAGTCTTTTGCTTAGTAAGGACTAACACAATACGTTTAGATAGGTCAAAGAACTTCAGGCTTTAAAGAATATTTCCTGTGCCCCTCACAGACCAATTATACCTCACCTCTTAACTGCTCCCCCCTCTTCTGAGCACCGGCAGCAAACTGTACCTTTGTATGCCTCGCGGGATACCCAGCTTCTTGCCCAGCAGTCGCTCACTGCAGCAGTCCACCAGACGTTTGAGGGTATAAAGACATTCTCTGAAGGTGGAGAAGAAGGGGTAGTGGCTGATCACACAGAGGGATGTCAGAGTACTGTTGCGGGAGCGGCTTCCTGCCTTGGCCCGGCGTTTTCCACCACGTGGAGACTGGTTCACATCGGGGGTGGAGTCGGTGCTGGGAGGCTGCAGGGACGAGCCACTCTCTGAGCTCTCAGTGCCAACCTCTTCTGAGGCAGAGGTGGCCCGGGGTCCTTCCTTCCCACGGGACCCTGCCCCAGCTTCCCCCTTTTCCTTAGGCATTCGCTTCTGGAAGGAGCGGTAGAAGTTAACACAGATGCCATAACGTGTGACTCCGGTGTCCTTGTCGGTGAGGGTGAAGACAAAAGAGGTGTCATCCCGCAGGCTCATGCGTCGCTGCCGCACACTCAGACAGCCTTCTGGCTGGCAGAAGAACACTACATCTGGAGGCAGGGGAAACTCAACGTGATCCTCTAATGGGTACCGCCGAAGCAGTTCAGGAGTCTGGGCCACACTGTCACTGCTTGGGTGCCTGAAGAATATAAAGGCCAATTCAGCAACCTGAAGGGATAGGATGCTCAATCACATTTTACCACGGTCAACAAATAAACTTTACTATTTTGGATCAAGTAACTAACTGCAGGACCTTGGAAAACATGGGTGCTGCTTGCCGTGTTTAGCCGGTAGGCTACATGAGGCCTGCTCTGTCATGAAGACACCTATGCTAAACTGAGAGAAAAATTTCGACAATAAAATGACCATTCACGCCTTTTCAAGGTGCATTAGCTAATGAAGGAGCATATGTAGGTAGAGAAGGAGCATAGTGTACTTTTCCTTTTTATGAGACAAGGAAACTGGGGTACACAGAGTACATTTGATCAAGAACACGAGGATGCTAGTTAAGCCCTGGCCAGTGTGGCTCAGTTAGTTAAGCATCCTCCCATGCACCGAAAGGTCACTGGCTCAATTCCCAGTCAGGGTACATGCCCAGGTTGCGGGTTGTGTGTATGGGAGGCAACCAATCGATGTTTCTCTCTCACATTGATGTTTCTCTCTCTCTCCCCCTCCCTTCCTCTCGCTCTAAAATCAATGAAAACATATTTTAAAAAGAAAAAAAGATGCTAGTTAAGAGAAAAGTTTTGTTCCAACTCTGTTCCTCCAGGCCACTACACTCAATCCACCTGACTGTGTTGTTTTCACAAATGGCATCAATGCTCCCATCAGAGTAAAATAATAGGGGAAGAGTGCGATATGCAAATCAACATGGAAATGAAGAGGGTAATAATTTTGTGGCTATCCCGGATGACAAGACAAAAATCAATCTCTTCTTGGTTACCTGGCGCCTACGATCACTAGATAATCAAGTAACCGAGGACAGAACTTCTTCTTTTGCACCATGGTTCCAATGCATTAGTTCATCGCAGAGAAACTTCAAGGCACCAAGCAAGGAGTCAGCATTCCCAGGAGGAATTCTGTTATTATCTGAAAATCCAAGTCTAATAGGAAAAAGTACTGATAAGATCCATTGCTGTGCTGAAGGGACCCAGCCCTGCCAGCTTCATCCCAGCCCAGGGCACAGGTCAGAAGGTCTTCCATTCAGTACTAAAGATAGAAGAACCTGACACTTTTCCCAGCCTAGAGTTTGGTCTAGGCTTACGAGCTCACAGAGTCAAATGAGAAGAAGGATTAATAATGGCTCATCTCCCCATCCCTACAAACCAGTTCATTCTCAGCCTTGCCCCTGGTGCTCTGTTTCTGAAAAACAGACCCAGTTAGTCTAATCTGGACTCAGTCATTATGATAACAAAAATTAAGTCATTTTCTGCTCCAGGGGAGATCAGGGTCAAACCAGACTCTCTAATCAGCACTCATCTGTGCTCCTAGCTCTACATGGAAACCAATTTATTCTGTCCCAATATTCTGCATTCAGCTTGATGTGAAACTAGCATATAGACTGTATAGTTAATCGCTCTCAGGCAATAACAAAAGCTGGCTACTCTACCCTGTGCAATCTCAAATGAAGAATATCTACGTTCCAACTGCTTTATCTGAACCATTTTTCTTCCCTCTTCAAGCAAAAAAGGAACCCAGTGGCTACTGCTACTAGCTCTGCCCTTGGTGCTGAATCATAGTCTTTCTCCTCTATTTTGGTCCCAGGATTGGAACCAGTAATACAATACACACAGATGAGGCCTTGTCCTTCTATATCTTACAAAGACTAGGAATTAGATGCAAAAATAACAGGATTTCTGCAAAAACAAGTACAGATGCTCAAAGGAATTTCTAATCCATAGTTGAAAGGTTAGGAAAAGCTTACAGGGTCTTAATTATAATTCATTTCCTGCTGGGTCTCCATACATTTCTGTAATAAATGTTTCACTCTACCTCAAGATTATTCTCAGTGCTTCCAGAATTCCACCTCTGTGCTCTGCACATGGCCACACTAGGACCTTTTTCACAACACACACAGAGGATCCCATTACACTACACACACGCTCACACCCCAGTCCTCTTTTGGCTGCTCATGCACTCCCCACACACAGGCATACACACTTCCTGTATGCTTAAGGCCCTGTCTGATACAGATAACGAGTAGAAGTTCTATCTTTTTTCCTTCTTAATAATAAAAGAGACCTATCTGCAATACCTCTCACACCCTCAAAATACTGTTCCTTCCCTTCCCTTGCTCCCAATATAGGACCAGCAGGTAATAGGATTCAGTTTAATCTCCATAGTGACTCTGGCTCCAGCAGTACTATTTATAGGAGAGACAGAGCCCCTCCCCTGCTTGGTGACCTCACAGTGCTAGCAGCTGCTACTCCAGAATCAGTCAGGGCTCATAACAATTCACTCTCCTTGAATCTGGAGACACCTCTTCCACTGAGAGCACCTGCTAATTATTATGTTATCTTCTCCTCCATCTGTCTTTTGTTTGCACTTTGTCCTAATTCTGGAGTTTAGCACTATCTCCTTTCCACACAACCAATATCAAGTTTCCAAGCATGCCATATACTCATTTCTAGGCATCACTGCCACCCCGAAAGTCCTCTGGTTCTCTCCTCTGTTATGGAGCCATGAGCATACTGCGGAAGGTGGGGCACTGTTACAGAGCTGAACTGAGCTCCTCCGAACCAGAATGAGAAGGGGAGAGAAACAGAGAAATGAAATGGGAGATGCATAAAAGCATAATTCATTCTATGAAGAATTCTGTGGACAATGCCTAGGGTGAGAGCCAAAGTACAGTAAGTGTTCACTTAATGCCACAAGATTCTGCAACTAAGTGAAACAATATATAATGAAACCAATTTTACCATAGGCTAATTAACAAAAACAAGAGTTAAGTTTCCAAGGCACCTCATCAACGTTATCACTAAATGATGTTGAACAAAAAGGCATTATTTGAGGACCTGCTGTATCTTAAAATAAAACAGAATTTACAGGACCAGAGCTCAAAGCTAAGCCTTGAAATCTATATTTACATTAAAAACCAGGAACTCTTTCCCGTCAAAATCTCAAAGACCACACCTGAAGCATCTTCTACTAATCTATTAGGCATCAAGCCTTAGTGGGATCCCAGCCCCTCTCCACTGAGAATCATTTGCTAAAAATCAAGTCATTATCATGCTCTACAGTGCTCATCTCCCTCCAGAGCCACAGGGACCCTTAGATCTTTTAGCTACAATTCCTATCTCATCGACAGCCACTGCTTTTGGTTATTCAGACTGCAGAGATAACGAAAGCTTTTCATCCCATTCTCCCCCTTGCTCACAAATCCTCTACCACCACCTATAACTCACACTGTCTTCATATCCACCCAAGCCCAGACTCTGCCTCCTGCTCAACCATACTTACTAACTCACAGCCCCTGGTTCCTAGGTCCTATATTACAAAGGCATCAAGCTCAAAATGCATACCTCTCTGCCGAAGTCTTACATCACCATCCACTCCATCCAGGCGCAGATCTGGAACCCACAGACCTTTCTTTAAGTTATCGATGTCTTTTCAGAAAATGACCACATTAACCAACCCTTTAGATTCGTCCTTCTTTTGGGGCAGAATTTCATAGTAAAACCACAGGAACCGGAGAGCGATATGACATTTTTGCTGACGTGAGCACCAGAGGCTCTCTCACCTCCTCCCCCTCCCCTGACCGTGACCTTGCAAGCACATCAACACAGACTGGTCCAGCACCAGGGAGAACAGGGAGCAACAAGGCAGGCAATAGGCAGTGTTGGGGAGGAGGGGAGGAGAGAAGGGGGGAAGAATTTAGAGATGCACGGGATGCGGAGGGAAGCAGTTGCAAGAAAGATTAAACGGTGTCTCCACTCTCTTAACAAGCCAATTTTGAAACTCCAAATTAAAAAAATTATTTTTTAATTTTTTTTTTAAAAGAACCAAACGTGGTTCAAATTCAAACACAAACCAAAAAGAAGGCGCACAAGCACACGCGCACACACGCGCGCGCGCCAGGTGCCAATCCCGGTCGGCCGCCGGCGGCACAGCTCTGCCCGCCCCCTCACCTGCTGGACAGTTCTCCCCCGCCTCCGCCCCGGAACCAGAGCCGCCCGCCAGTCCC